ATGGCCACGCTTTTCTGTATGTGATAATCTAGAGTGGTGTCTACATCTCCAAGTACGGTTTGTGATATAGTCCTTGAAGCTGGTCTCCCATACAAGACGTTCGCGCGCTCCGTGTTGCCGCCTTTTACCCAGAACGAGTTGCTCTTACAGGGTGAATCCGACGTACCTAGCTAGGGCTCAAGAAACGCGGCCTGCTGTTCCCGCCCTCTACATACCCAATAAAGCGTTCCAGGTATCTTTCATGGGATATGCTATAACTCTATCCGCTCGTGTGGTCCTTCCCGATTAAACTTGACCATGCAGTAGCTGAGACCACACGCCCGGTCCGACATGCTCGCCCGGTACAAGCTTGTCCGCTAGCCAGCAAGGTCGGTATCACAAGCGCTGTTCAACTTCGGGAAAAACATTTAGAACATATCATAGAACTCGACGCCTAAACTTTAGACTTACGACATGTCACCAACTTTACCATTTGTCTTGGCTTTCTTCAGCCGTCTGCTTGGCGATGGAAGTGCGAAGGCACGCCGGCACCACATGTCGGACCGGCATCTCGCACTCCCGACTTCCATCGAATCAGCGTAGCCGCCGTGCGTCGCGCCTCGCACCCGCGTAAACAAACCTGATCGTTTACCCCAGAGTTATGCGCCTCGTATGTCCTCCATGCCAGCCGAACCCCAAACGGGATTCTCTCCGGGTAAACAAGCTCTCCAGAGCGTGAATCTGCGGAACCAATGACCCCGCTATGTTGCCTCTCTGGCCCTCGCATCGTTGCCAAGCCATGCAAGTCCGACCTCCATGATGACGGTACTGCGGGGGAGCGCGCCTTGGGTGCATATCCGCCTATCCTAGCCATGCAAACGGTAAGTCTGAACCGAGATCACGATGCGTGCTTTGTTGTTGCAGTGCATCGGACTAGTACACACGGCTGCACGCGCTCGAGTATAAGAAGGCAAAGGTTCCCTCGGACGATCAGCATCCAACACGGTCCTGGCTTTCTCAATACCTTCAGGCACCATGATCACCAAAGGCCTTTTCGCTCTTGGGGCGGCGGTATCTGCATTTGCAAGTTCGCTGGTTCAACGCCAAAGCTCATCACTTGAAGCTTGCCCTGGGTACACTGCTAGCAACCTTCAGGATAATGGCTCCAAGGTTACCGCGGACCTTACGCTTGCGGGCACCGCTTGCAATGTCTACGGCGACGACTTGACTGACCTCAAGCTTGAAGTCGAGTACCAGACGGGTGCGTTCTCCAACCATTACAATCATTATTGGTGCTAACCAATCTTACAGCCGAACGCCTCCACGTGAAGATCTTCGATGCTGAAGAGCAAGTCTTCCAGATCCAAGAATCTGTCTGGCCTCGTCCTCCCGATGACGAGGGTGTCAGTCCCGAGGACTCTGCCCTGTCATTCACATGGACCGACAGCCCGTTCTCGTTCGCCATCAAGCGCAAGGAGACCAATGAGACTCTCTTCGACACCTCCGCTGCATCGCTCGTCTTTGAGTCACAGTACCTTCGCCTGAGGACTGCTCTGCCTCCTTCACCCAACCTATACGGTCTTGGTGAATCGACTGACCATTTCCATCTGAACACCACCAACTACACCCGCACTCTCTGGAACCGTGATGCCTACGGTACCCCAGAAGGTTCCAACCTCTACGGAGCTCACCCCATCTACTTTGATCACCGCGGCGAGAACGGCACTCACGGTGTCTTCTTGGCCAGCTCCCAGGGTATGGACATCAAGATCGACGACTCCGAGGGCCAGTTCCTTGAGTACAACACTCTAGGCGGTGTTCTTGACTTCTACTTCCTCGCTGGTCCTGGACCGAAGGAAGTCGCAGTCCAGTACTCTGCGCTGTCTGGTCTTCCCGCTATGATGCCGTACTGGGGTTTCGGTTCTCACCAATGCAAGTACGGTTACCGTGATGTCTGGCAAGTTGCTGAGGTAGTTGCCAACTACTCCGCTGCCGACATTCCCCTCGAGGTGAGTTCTATATCCCGACATATTATCTATAAATCCTCGCTAACACGCCCAGACCATGTGGACCGACATCGACTACATGGAGCTCCGTCGCCTGTTCACTCTGGACCCAGAACGTTACCCTCTTGAACTCGTCCGCGAGGTGGTTGACTACCTCCATGCTCATCAGCAGCACTACATCATGATGGTCAACTCCGCCGTCTGGAGTGGCGACTACGATGGCTACAACGACGGTGCTGAGCTCGATGTCTTCCAGAAGCGCGAGAACGGCTCTTTCTTTGAAGGCGCTGTCTGGCCCGGCCCAACTGTCTTCCCCGACTGGTTCCACCCCAACACCCAGCAGTACTGGGACCAGAAGTTTGCCGAGTTCTTCGACCCTGCGACCGGTGTTGACATTGATGGTCTATGGAACGACATGAACGAGCCTGCCAACTTCTGCCCGTACCCTTGCGAGGACCCTGTGGCCTACTCTGAAGAGTCCAAGAACCCGCCTGAGCCACCGCCAGTCCGCACCTCTGCCGACGGCCGTCAGATTCCTGGCTTCCCAGCAGGATTCCAGCCTCAGTCCAACTCCACGCTGAAGACTCGCTCAAGCTCGCCTCTCAGCAAGCGCTCCAACTCCAAGCGTCAAGCCTCCAACAACACCGAAGACCTTGCCGCGCACCCCGGTCTTCCTGGTCGTGACTTGATCAACCCGGAGTACCAGATCGCTAACGCTGCTGGTTCAATCAGCAACAAGACCCTCGACACCGACATCCAGAACTATGACGGAACGTACCATTATGATACCCACAACTTCTGGGGCTCGATGATGTCGATTGCTTCGCACAAGAGTATGCTCATGCGCCGTCCTGAACGTCGTCCTTTAATCATCACCCGCTCTACGGTAAGTCTTCACATGTCATCATATCACACCGCAGCTAACGAAAGACTAGTTCGTCGGTCTAGGTACCTACCTCGGAAAGTGGCTCGGTGACAACGTCTCCGAATGGACGCAATACCGCTTCTCCATTGCCGGCATCCTGAACTTCAACTCCATCTTCCAGATCCCCATGGTCGGACCTGACATCTGCGGTTTCGCCGGCAACACGACCGAGACACTGTGCGCACGCTGGGCAACCCTCGGTGCCTTCTACCCCTTCATGAGGAATCACGCTGGCGACACATCAATCGACCAAGAGTACTACCGCTGGCCCTTGACCACCGCCGCAGCCAAGAACGCCATCGCCGTCCGCTACCGTCTACTCGACTACTTCTACACAGCCTTCCACCGCCAGACCACGACCGGAGAACCCAGTTTAAACCCCCTGTGGTTCCACTACCCCACCGACCCCAACACCTTCGCCCTCGAATACCAATTCTTCTACGGCGACGCCATCCTCGTGTCGCCCGTGCTGGAGGAAAACTCCACCAGTGTATCCATCTACCTCCCCAACGAAGTCTTCTACGACTACTGGACCGGCGAGCGCATCCAAGGAAACGGAAGCATGATCGACCTCACCGACATCGGGTTTGACTCCATCCCCCTCCACGTCCGCGGCGGCTCCATTATCCCTCTGCGCGCTGAATCCGCAAACACGACGACCGAGCTGCGGAAGCAGGACTTTGTCTTGTGGATCGCGCCGAATGCTACGAACCAGGCTAGCGGATCTTTGTACCTCGACGACGGCGATAGCATCGAGCAGCCGTCTACGTCCATGATTACGTTCTCCTACGACAACGGCAAGTTCAGCATGGACGGTGACTTTGGATACGCGACGGATTGTGTTGTTAAGAACATTACTATTCTTGGTACCGGAAGAAGTGTTCAGGGCCCTGTTGCGCTCAATGGAAGCTTCGAGTATGACTTTGGTGCTGGGGCGGGTATGCCGGAGTATCAGGGTAAGGCGCAGAAGCGGGGTCTGGGTGTTGGTGCGGCGTGGGGTGCTGGAATGGGGTTGGCGAGCGTGTTGTTGAACTTGTAGATGGTAGGGAGCCGGGAGACGATGTGAAGTGACCTGCGCTTCCTTCGTCGGAGTAAATGTACGTTTGAGGGATACATGGAGTGACCAGCGCTCCAATCATCTTACCAAATATACGTTTGAGGAATACACTGCGCGACCAGCACTCCAACCCTCCCCCCAAACACTCCCTGTGAAGAAGACATCCCCCCAACACCCTCCCCTCCACCCACCCCCCCCTCACAACGTCCTCCCCAACGGACTCCTCCCCACCCTCCTCCCCTCCCTATTCACCCTCATCCCCTCCACAGTCATAACCTTCCGCTGCACAGGCACCAACCTCCTCCCTTCCAACTCTTCCAACTCCCCCTTCGGCCCAAGCACACTCAACAGCCTAATCCTTTGCCCCATGCCAAACGTCCTCTTCCCCTCCTCATCCATGTCTTTCTTCTTCTTCTCCAACACGCGCTTCAGCGCGAGTCGTTTTCTGCCGAGCCGCTTTGAGCTTGCGAGGAGTTGTTTCTTGGTGGGGGGCTTTTTGGTGAGGGTGCCGGTTTCGCCGCCGAGGGTAAGTGGTGTTGCGGGTGTGACTTGTGTTGGTGCTTGTGTTGGTGAAGACAGGCCGGCGACCCGGCTTCGCGTTTGCATGGCTGGTGGGCCGTTGAGCCGGCGCTCGAGCTGGCGGCGCGCGCGGCAGAGGTGCCAGGTTAGGCGGCGACAGAGGCGGGAGTGGGGGCTCATTCTGGTGAGCGGGAGTGAGGCGAGGAAGTAGTCCAGCTACTTTTGGGTGGTGGAGAGGTGGGTTTTGGGGGTGCGAGGAGGATGTCAAGGTTTTTGGGGAGCAAGATATAAGAGAGTGGAAGGTGTTGTAGGTGTCTGGGGTTGGTTTTGAAGAGCGGACGGCGAGGTTTTGATACCCTGAGGAGGGACAGGAGGTACAATAGAGCTGTCAGAATAGAGGTGTACAATAGCTTTGCAGACTATGATAGGGTTGAGTGGAAGCATCTCTTTCCTATTGTATTGTATTGAAGCAAGGTGAAAGTGAAGGTGGGATTGATTCGGTCACTTCGACTACCTACGTTTCCGCATACATGCTCTCATCTATCCAAGGTCTAGGCGGACATGTCTTCACCCACTGCCGATGCAGCTTTCTCGTCATCTCGACCTTATTCCAGAAGTTGTCCCAGTATGCTTTGTTGACTGCTGGGTCGTGGCTGCGGAAATATCGCTCGTGACCCTGATGCCTCATCTCTTGCAACCTGCGAATACAAAAACGCAAGTTGGCGACATCCGCAACTACTTCTTTGCTGACGTTCACCCATGCCTCGTCTAGTTGTTCTACTGACTCTGACTCTCGTCGCTGAGACAGCAGATGGTCGTCCAGTGAAACGACTTCAAATGCGCACCCAGCCCATGGGCCACTTGAGAAGTTGAAGGCTTGTCCTGGGGAGGGACACTCTGGGTTGCTGCACGTGAGAACCAGAAATATGTTTGCCAAAGTAAGCGCTTGGTCACTCTCCGGTAGTGGTCGCGATTTATCCTTCGGAACTCTCCTCACCTGTTCCGACAGCTCGCGGTAGAGTCGCTGCATCCTGGGAAGTACTGGCTCGTGGAACTTGGGTAGTGAGTCCCAATCTGGTGCTGGACAGGCTGGCTCTTGCAACTGATCCGAGCGTACGTATTGTCTAGTCGTGATGTTGCGAAGCACCCACTCTCTGTCTGTGGCTCGTGGAAAGACCCGACCAAGATCTCGCTCGATTTTGTCCCGATCCCCCCGTCTTAATGTCAGCTCATATTTTGCCATCTTCAATCCTCGTCCGGGTTGGTATCCACGCATGGGGCGCATGAGAGAGCACCAATCATATAGTGGTCGGCACCTGAAATGGTCCCATCTCCGATCTTTGACCTTCTGTTGCGACCTCATTTCCTGACGTCCATTGATTAAGACGGGTGTGTCTTCCACACCATAGTTCCGCATTTGATCGGCGGTGAGCTTTGAATCTTCATGGTGGAACCCGACTTTCTTGCCTACCCAGTTTGTTTTCTGATAGGTCCAGTGTATACGGGCTAAGGCGAGTGGCCACAAGCGAGCAGACGAGAGGGATAATGCGACGAAGTCTTCCCGATTGAACTCTTCCACTGAGGGGCGGCTGTGCCAGCGTTCGTAGCCGAGTGCTTCCCAGTCAACTTCTTCGCGAAGGAGGATGTAATCGAAGATCATGTCAATTATCTCGTTTGGCAGGCGCTCGAAGAGGTCTCCACTGGGCGGATAGTAGTGCTGGGGCCGTGGGTTCACAAACATGTTGTAAAACCAGTACTCATCTTTCCGCTCAAATAACTTCGGGGTGTCGTCTTTGTATTTGCAAAGTGTATGGTATTGATCGAGCTCCGGACAAATAAGTAAGTAGTAATAAGGAAACCCGAGGACTGGGGGAGGCCCATCTTGCTTGCCCTCAATTATAGCGCCCATGTCTTCTGGTTATATTCACGTTGCTGTTGTTAGAAACGGACGACCATGGGTCTGTAAGAAATGTTGAGAGATCGCGACCGCCCCTTGTTAATCAATGTTGATGCTACGCCGCAGCACAGACCTAGCCCAAAACGGAAGGAACAACCCACGTACCCGGCAAATAGACACCTGAGCAACATCAACCAAGACATGCCACGATACATCCAAGTTAGATTGTTCATACAAGACGTAACCCGGACGCAATCGCAGCAACTATTTATTTAACACCTCTCGATCCGCGTCGCCATTGATCCATCTCCTCCGGCGTGCCCGATCCCGGCTTTGGCTTGCGAAACGCGCGCGTCGCACCTGCTCTCAGTACTCAGCCGCCGCTCTACATCACCACCTACTTCCTCCTCCCATGTTTCGCAATCAAGCTTCTCGACTCACCACACAGCCAGATATGCGGCCCAGCCTCGCCATCCTTAAGCCCATGTTCATTGATGATATGCTCAATCTGCTTTGCGCGACCGCGGTTGGCGCTCAGGGTAGTGAGGCTCTCGGCCCAGCCGTAGAGAAAGATGGACTTATTGAGGTGGCCGAGTTCGGCGGCGACGGCGGTGGCGGTGCTGGGGAGGTTGTCGGTGATGGTGTCGACGTTGGGGGTTTTGACGGTTATGGGGAGGGCAAAGTTGGGGGGTGGGGGGTAGTCGGAGAGTGCGGCCTGGGGGGTGTTAGCTGGGTATCGTGTGGTGGTGGGGTGATGGGAGAGGACGTACCCATTCTTCAACAAGCTTCTCTTGTGACCACGACTCGCAGTCTCCTTGTCGAAGTAGCAGGTCCGCTCTTGTCTTCTCCGTATCAGTCGCCAGAGTCTGCACTATCAGGTTCATCTGCTCGGCTGCTTCGCGCGTGCATACCATGGGATGTGCGCCAATGGCAGGGTATAGATGGGTCGGTAGCAGGTGCTCTTGAGCCTCCTCTTCGATCTGGGCGCGCACTTCGCCTGGATACCAGTCCAGTATGGGGCATGGTTTGTGAGAAATGTCGGATATGAGGGCCAGTAGAATAGTGCAGTCGATGTTTAGAGTATCGCTCAAAGCCCGGGATCGATCGATAAGAAGGCGCGGTAGAACAGCGTCTATGGAGTGCGCGGGTGGAATGTCGTCTCCGCATTGTACTATCGCACCCGTAGCGCGTATCTTGTTGATAATCATATCGATAGCTGGTGTTTTCCCAGCCGAGATTCGCGTTAGGACGAACCGCACCTTGGGCGGTCGACCGCGAATAGGATTTGCACGCGCAGCTCTTGCAAGACCTCGCGCGTTTCGCACCACGTCGATTTGGTCTTCGTCGTCATCGTCGTCTTCCGGCGGAGGCGGCATATCTTCGTCATCTTCAGAGTCCGAGTCGTTGACCCAACCCAACTTCGCAAGATCGAAGAGAATACGCTTTTCCGAGACGGTTGATACCCGTATCCACTCTGCACCCTCTTCTGCAACGATATCGACGAGCGCGGAAGTCTTGTTCTTGCCTTGGCTTCCTTTTGCTAGGCTGACTCCTTTTGCAGTACTCTTCCCTGCGGGAGCTTTGTGACGGTCCCAGAAGAAGTATTTGCGGAAGCTTTGGATTCCCATTGAGCGCTTTGCTGCGCCCCATAGTGCCTCGTAGTAGAGAAGATTTGAGGACACAATGTAGTGTCGGGCCTTCTCCTCATCCATTGACGACCCTGCGATCTTCTGTAGGAAGGCTAGCTCGTTGCGCATGTCATTCCGAAGATTCCGATATCTAGTACAGTTAGTCATGGTCTGAGGCTGCCAATCTAATCACGAAGCAGCTCACCCCTTCTCAGAAGAACCTCCCCTGGAGGTATACGCTATGTTGTATACTGTGAATGTGAAAGCAAACCCACCGCCAACACCTCCAGGGTCATATGAGGTTTAATCTGGGAAGTCGGGAGCCTTCGTTTAGATGATTATATCATTGCAATCGTATAGACGTACTCAACTGGATTGTAAACCTTCCCGACCTTTTGCTTCTCAAGAACTGCCGCAATGTACGTCTCGACCTCGTCGTTCAGATGGTTGCCACGCGCCACTAGCTCTTGAATTGTAGATTCGAGCTCAGCCCTTGGAGTGGGCATTTTGCCGTCAGCCGGCTCTTCCCCAAGACCAATGTGGCTGAAGTCTTGCGTGATGGAGTCTGCCATGATCACCTCGGGCGGGGAAAAACCTGGATCAGCCTGCAGACTACGATATGATGAGAATGAGTGAATCGAAAGATCTGGCGACAATGTAGGCTCCAGAGTCCGGTATGTTTGATAGTGCACGCTGGCTAGTTGGAGTATGGCGTGAAGAATGCGAAGGTTCTTTGATTCCACTGCACTCGCTTAGAATCGAGCGAATACGTCCTCGTCTTATCCAACACCCGGCGTCCGAAGATTTTTCCTGATGAGCAGTAGTCCGGGGTGGTGAAGAGTTGATAGAATAGATTTCGATTTCTGAAGACGAAGTACGCGAGCCCTGACTCAAGCACTAGTCAAGCCGTGGAAGGTTCTCGGGTAGTGGCGCAAGCAGCAAACTGCTGTTGCCTGATAGGTCGGTTCTGGTGTCAGCCCTTTTCTGCATCCTAGGTTCCTGTCGCGTGGTACCTGGCCAGAGTCGCGATTCTAGTCTGGCCCGACGATTCCCCGGCCGACCCCGCCAAAAGTTGCCCGCATACCGAACGCACGCACCGACCACCATCCTCATCTCTCTCTCACCTTCTCCCCCAGACACCACCAACCCACCATGCCTTACTTCGCGACAAGCCAGGAGTGGTACGAGCAGTCGTCGCTCCTGCTCAAAGCGCGACCGACATCCGTATGCCAAGCTCCACTCCCCACGCACGCACGCACGCACGCGACCCGCCTTCTAATCTCGCTACTAGACACGCATCACGTCCAAATACTCGGTCCTCAAACCCACGGCGTCCAAAATAAAGAAGCGCCAGAAGTACGAGGAGAAGCGAGCTTCGAAGCCCACAGACACAGCGCGCGCATCATCACCGCCGCCGCAATCGCAGAATCCAGAAGAAGTCACCGTGTTCTTCACGCTCAAGACGTATGACCCGGAGTCGGGGACGTGTCTGCAGTATGAGACGAACAAGGGCGCTGAGGTGGGGAGGTTGATAGGGAACTTGGGCAGGCTGGGGAGGCACATGGCAGCGCTGCCGGAGACAACGGACGATCTGAGCATGCCGGCTGGCGGCGAGGCCACATCCACACCACAGGTTGACGAAGGCGGAGATGTGAAGATGGGCGGCGTCCCAGCGGCTGGTACGGGGACTGGAGGCAAGAAGAAGAAGAAGGGCAAGAAATGAGGAATGGGACATCACGAGCATACCATACTGCACGCGCCGAGCAGGGCACCCAAGGCGGACGAAGACATCGCGACGCACATACACGATACCACGAGGCTCAGAGGGATATCGGTTGCGATTGAATGATTGATAAGAGGTTGGGGCATATACGGCGCACAGCCTGCGGAATGAAGATACCCAATTCCACATACAGCATGCCCGTCTGTGAACTTCTCACACCTGCCGTTCACTTCCACAACCAGCATGCCCATCCATGACCTTCCCACACCCGCCGTCCATACTAAAACTTCCTAACAGCCGCACCAGCAGCCGCAGCGTACGAGACACCCTTCATACGCTCCATGCGCTCCAGAAGCTTTTGCTTACGCTTCTCAGCCTTGTGCTCTTCTTTCTGCTTCTCCATCCGCTCCTTGCGCTCCGCCTCCTGCTTTTGCTTCTCAGCCGCCGTCTTGCCGACGATTTCCCACTCGGCCTTGTCCTGCTCGTGCAGCGCTTCGTCTTTATCTACGAGGTCCCAGTTGTCCTCGCTGTTGTTGGCGCTCGACTCGGAGGCGTGGAGACCGGCGTTGTTTGTGCGGTCGAGGAAGTCCTTGAGGTCTGACGTCGGGTCTTGCACGGCGGCGGTGTGGATGTTTGAGGACATGGCGGTAGATTGGTGAGTGGATTGCTTTGATGAGAGGTACTGTAGCTTGAGTGAGTGAATAGAGTCGAGGGAAAGTCTGAAAGTTGATTGTGGTGAGCGTTCGATGATAGTGCTCTGCTTGAGTTTTGGAAATCGTTATAGTGCTATACTGACAGGTCATAGAAGGTATATGTACTGGCCCGGCCGGTCGCAGTGCCTTCACTTCTCAACTCTCATTCACAGCTCAGAAGCTGCAGTGAATGTCGAATCTATCACTGCGCAACCACCTGCGCGTCACGTTCCACTATTGAAAGGCGGCGAAATACGTTCTCGCAGCCAAACCATGGTTCTCGCACGGTGGGCGCGCGCGCACACGGGATCTTGATGACGGGAAGAATGGAGCTTCCTGGAATTGACCGAGTCACTGGTTTCATGGATCCGATACGTTATGTCAAAACTGGCTGCGAGACTGTAGGGCGGGTGCATCCATGCTGCCAGATCGATGCTGCTCATATCGACGGTGATGTTGCTCGTCAAGATTCCGAAGGGCGCAGCTAATCGAAACTCGGCTATAAAGTGGTGATTACAACGTAAGCTATACTGAAATGTTCGCAGCCTTAACCGCCGTTAACTCCCGCTACCCAATTACCCCACTTCCCATGCCGAATGGTAAAGCCAGCGCGTAGTACATGCCACGGCGGCATGTTGGCGGGTGTTTGGAACTTTTTAGGCGTCTGAGTAAGCCAGCTCGCATGCCATATGTCCACCGAGTCGTCCCTACGCTCGCCGATGATTTTCTCCGGGTCGCACGCCGTACCCAGGGCGAAGTCGCAGTGTATGAATGGGTGGTCGCCATTGGTAACTTGCTCTAGCAATTCTGGGAAGGTCTCGTATATGTATCCGCGGCGGAGTCTACGCTGCATCCAGGTTGGCGTTGGAAGCAGTTGCCGTGCATAACTCAGATCCAAGGCCGTCTGCCATGCGGCATCTCGCTGGATGATTTGGAAAACCTGCGTCGTCTCTTCGGGCGCGGAGTCGCATTGGAAGGTTAGCTTCAAAGAGCCCTCGGGCATACCTAGTGAGGGTAAAATGGATGCTTCCGCCATCCACTTTGCAACCGCCCTTGAGACGTAGCTGGAGTCAAGACGATCGTCTTCCAAGGGTCGCCCCGTACTAGAGGCTATCATATACCGCAATGTACTGCTTACGGGGAACACGTTTGCCCAGAGACTGACGCGCCTATGAACGCGCAGGTTTGGTTGCGCACGACAAAACGGTATAAAACCCCTTCCATGGCATTCTGGGAATGAGATAGACTCTCGGTCCTCGATGAGTTCAATCTGTCGCACGTTCTCACGCGTCTCGGCGCGGAGAGACCGAAGGAAACGTATTGCGCATGCTGCTGCTGATAAGGAGTGTTTCACACTCCCGACACCATTATGAGTCCCGGTTATGTCGACTAGTTGCTGGAGCTCGCGGTCGTATGTAGCTACAAGGTCGCGCTTATGCTTGTCCCGGGCACAATGACCAAACTTCCCCTCTTGACCACGTGGAAGTCTGCCCTCATTGGGCGTTAACCAGGGTTCGGGATTCACTTTTCGGAGACTTCGACGTTGGCGTTCCGAACGCTTCCCGCCCAGTTTGGGGTGGTGCTTGCGGTCATACAAGAGATTCAGAGTGAAGTGGACAAAGTCGCGATATGTCGAGGGTGGCTCTCCCAAGGTATTCGCGCGTCCACCTAGTGTGCCTAATTTCGGTAGGATCGATGAGAACTGTGGATACTTGAGGGATACCTCTTTTTCGATTGCTTCAGTCATTAGACGCGGAGCTTGGATATTGAGCAGGTCGAATTTGAGGGCGTGTAATTTGATGAGCGCTCCGTGGAATATATACGCATGCGTTTGCGTAGCGTTCGAGCAGGTTGTGCAGAACACGACCTTGTTAATTCGAAGAGCAAGGCCTCGAAGCTCGAATGCGGCCGCACGACAAGTGTACGTCAATGACAAATCGACAGGAAGTTTATTGGTTTCGAAACTGTACGTAAGGCCGTCTTCGTTGAATAGGTAATGGTGGTAGATGATATCTCGAAGTTCCCTAGGGAGACGAAAGAGTCGGGATTGAAGCTGCGTGCTTGCTGAGGGGATCGAAGGCGGCATGGTGGAGATTCACAAAACAATCTGTCGACGAGAGGCAGCAGATACTCACTACTCAGTCTTGGTGACATAAATGATGGGACGTTGTTGACGTGATGAAGATGTACATATGGCGGGCGAGCGTGACTCATCAGTAACAGAGCCTGTCAAAGCCGCATCCAAAGACGTGAGTCAGGGACTCCAAAAGGTCGTATTCGATCCTTCGTGACTGGTGTTAATTGCAGCCTGTAATTTACCTCGGTATACCGCGGTGAGAGGTGGCTCATGAGTGGGAACAGCAGAGACGAAACTGAGTTTGCGCCCTCCAACCGAAGAATAGAGTGCGCTGTTGACGCAGACGGAGGCGTGCATCCATCTGGTCTCTTCGATCGTTCGCCTTGAATCCAGCAACGTTTTGTCAGTGAAAAGATGTCATAACTGATCCATGGGTTGGTCGAGGTATGTCTTCGTCGAACTTCTGGTCGGCGCGTTGAATGTGGCTGCCTAACATGAATTAGAGCATCGGCGCTGACGTCATCCACGCGTCTCAGCGAACCGCATCGCGTCTGTTTCCATCAACCGCAACCGCGCACCAGACGTGTACTTTCCCGCCAACACCTGCGTTCGACATTGCCCGCCTTCTACAAACCTGCGCCTACTTCTGCTGCCTAGACGAGGGAACCATACAAGCTACACATGACGACTCACAATGGCGCATCGTGGCCACATCGAGGCCTTGAAAATCGTCGCAGCCGGGTGCAAATGGGAAGCCACGGTTGCATGCCGTCGCACTGTGTGGTTGGCCATCGCAGCCTGATCCACTGGGCGCGCCTTCAGTCTGATGTGCAACCCGGACTCGCTGAATCTGATATCGAACCCATCGATGATAGCCCAGCCACATTGCCGGCAATGCTACGCTGCTACGCGAGCTGAGAGACCTTATCTACGAGCATCATGTCCAAGTCGATGGTGGCTACAAATGAGGTGGAAATGGCATACCGCTGTTGCAAGGTCGCCAAGACAGCAGCCTGCCGAGGGTACCATGGTACAGGTAGAGGAGCAAGGAATTTCTTGCAGGCGCAAGGGTTTCGTCTTTCCTCAACTCTATCCCCAGTCAGCGTCTGTTTCGCACATCTACGCTGCTGTATGGGTTGTACTTCAGCGGCCTCGCCTGTATCCCTCAAACCTATTGCGACCATCTCACATAACAAAGTACACCTTTTACAACCAGCCCGGACCAAGACTCAAGCCCTCGCCTGGATTGAAGACGTATCCTCATCGCCCGCAAAAAGAATGTGAGTGCTCAAACGCGACACGGCGGGGCCAGCAGCTAATCGCCAAAATAGTCGACAACGCAGAGGCTGCATACTCGGAACACGAACCCGCCCAACGCCTACATCGACATGTCGGCTCTTCTCCAACTGCCGCGCGAGCTACGCGACCACATTTACGACTACTACTTCAGCTGTGATGGCGGTTATACACACGTTTTCGAAACAAATAAGCTCCGGCGACCCGACGATCAACCTATCGAGTTCTCTCTCGTGTTGAGCTGCCGGCAGATCGCCACCGAAACACATGGGCTCGCGCTGCAGCTGAATACGCTTCAATTCGCGACAGTCCACTCTGACGCCACTCAAGAACAAGCTGGTCTGCACCACGCAGTCAACGTCACCTTAGGCTACAGAAAAGAGTCGCTCACCCACTACGCCGCTTCTGGGCTTCTCAGCCAAGAGCAGGCAGAGGCTACGGAGAGAGCGTATCCGCAATTCGCGCCCGTGGTAAACTATTGGCGGTCGCATGGTCGAATAGGGATCGGACTGAACCCCTTCCTGGAGTGTGGTGAGGCGCCGTCCATCTGGCGCGATTTCGTAAGCTTCACCCTGGATCTGGTCTCCCAGCATTCCGGGTTCGTCGATAAGGCTAGGACAGGATCTCGATACTCATACAAGGACAATGAGGCCTTCCTGCTGAATGAAGCCCGCCCGGAGCCTTGGCGCATCCTAGACGATGCAAAGATTTCGAAGCTGCAAAAGATTACGAGAGCGCGCTTCGACTTTCCTTTCGTTTGGCCGGGCACAAAGTACACTTACTCAGCAGCCTCCGCCGCCCTTCGATTTCTGCATTCTATATCGAAAGAGGCACGCGACAATATACGAAAGGTGTCGCTGCTAGAAGACCGCGAATCTGTCTCGTTCCCTGAGAGCCATGGCAGAGGGTTCATCCTCCTTTGTCAAAAGCATCCGCAACTCGTGATTGAGAGGTCAATCAATCTCTGGGGAAATGTGCTCCCCGTATCTTCCGATACGCTTACTGGGTACTTGGAAGGCTACCAAAGCTTGATTGATCAAGGACTCATGGACTACGACCGCTGCCCTGCTAGGCTCATCACCAGGGCAGTGGGTACATGGATTAAGGAGGCTATGTGCTTGCCCGAACTCGGCATGCCGCACGGCTCTTTCACTCTCGTCCTTGATGGCAGCCCTGTGCCAGAACACTCCTCTCGCATGTTCCGCGTTGTTCAACGCGATGTTGCATGGCAGAGCGCCCTCGACAAATGCTACGCACGAGGAATCCTACCGCAACCTTCCTGGCTCGATCAGCGACTACACATTACGGGCTTCATGTTTGAGGGACTACCAGAAGCAGTCGAAGCTCTCTCCATGGATAGTCCGCTCATCCGAACCAACTTCCAGCTCTCTCCACCTTGCGATGTTGAGCAAATGCTGCAAGAGCGTGTAGGGTGGTCTGCGCAAGACTGGGAAGAGGGTTGGGCAACTCATGAGCCGCGCGAGTTCCAGACTGAGGCGCCGCTACCTCCGTGGCACCTACTCCGTTGGCGGCATGTTATCAGATAAGCCGAATGTTGTGACTCGCGAAAATGAAAGGCGATAGCTCGGTACCAGAGCCCGTCTTGAGGAGGTCACCGAACTTGTAATGTAGAATCAATTTGGACAACACGTATTCTTTGTCTATCATCGGAACTCAAGTGATGTTATTGCAATACGCCCGCATGTGATGCTAGCATTTGCAACATACACGAGACGTCGTTGGTGCTGTCGCAGAATTGGGTGAAATGTACAGAAGGCGGGGCCAGCCGAGGCTTGCCTCCCTAGGTACGAACGGTAACGCGTGCCAGTAACTCCACCCGATCACCGGCTAACAAGCTTACCCACTACGTCCTTCAGCGACCTTTTTGTGGTTCATGGGTCCCTTTCAGGCATCGACGTTATCTCCAACACCACCCGAGCATTACGCATGTATGACTGAGTGCTGACACAATCGTTCCGACTGTCGGACGAATATAGTTGATACACGTGAGCAAGGCAAAGGATGTGCTCAAGATGAATCGGTTCTTGTCCTCGGTGGACGCGATCGCACTCGAAGGGCTAGCGGAGAGACGGTCGATACATAGCTGTAGTAGCAGCATTGAGCTTAACTAAGGCAGGCGGGACGGAGGTTAGTGTATATTCCGAAAGAATAGGGCGACAGTCAATCGTAAAAAGTCGCATCGGAGGTACGCGTACTGTGTGCTGATAGCATGATGGCGCGTTAGCCACCGAAGGCAACGGCACCACGCATGGTGGCAGCCTTGGACTACCGTTACCGGACGGTTAACATGTATACTCTCAGGTAAGGTGAATGCGAGGATCCCCTCAGGGCTGTAGCGCAAGGTAGAAATGAAGGTATATGTAGCCTGACGCCTCGATAAGGTTGGAGAGCGCGTGGCGCGACATTTGCGGCCGCGGTGGATGACGTCTTCCCGCCTACTAGGCTGAGTGGGTAAGGCGTGTTGCGGCGCCAGCCGCCCGCACGTGCGGACGCGGAGCTTGGAGCTCCAGCGACCTCGTGGGCTTCAAACGATGCAATTGACGGAACGACCCCTCATGCAATATGGCATATACAGATCTACAAACGTAGCATACACTGCGAACAATGCATCATCGTCGTGACGCGTATAGCCAGCTGGATAACGACCACAAACTCCGCTCGCAGCCTCCCCGGACGGTCTCGTTTCTTACGCGTCGCACCCGGCATCCAAGAAAACAACAAGCTTCACTGCTTATTCACTGCGTCACATGGGCTGAGTATAGCCCTTACTGTGTAAATTACTGCGTTACTACTACCGCGTTGTGGACTCTGCTTCGGCATCGACTCCAGTCTCTCATCAAGAACAACAAGCTTCTTTAAACATTGCAGCCCCCACGAATGAACTGACAAGTACATAGCGACATGGCATACACTTCGACACAACACCACAAGCCAAGCCGCCGCCGGGCGCCCAGTAATCGTTCTCGCATCCTTCATCCGTCATCCGTCATCGTCACCTTGATCGATCTCCTACCCACCTGTGTCGCGATGACAGACCGCGCGCCCGCCTCAGACGTATAATTGCCCTAGCTCAGTCATTGGGCGTATACCGCTCGCGGTATCGATCCAAGTCACGGTAGCGGTGGTCGACCGGACACAAGTCAGGGTCTGGGACATCTGTGTGCATAACAAGATGGTGGTCGTGGCATTGCGATGGTGGGAGGTATGTATTGCTTGAAAGCTGTCTTCATTGTTTCTCCAAAGGACATACACTTCACGCTGTTGCTTGTCTGGCCATATGTGGTTTCACACCCAACACAGACCATGGCAGCCACAATATGAAACACTACGTCAAAAGGGCCGTACGCCGCGAAAGCGATGACGAACACTGTCAAGCACGGGAAAGGACCTGACTTCGAGAGGCGCGACTTATGCGTCAATGATACACAGGCAGCGGCACTAGCGGACGCGGACGTCGTACGCATGCAGTTGCTCGTTATTCTTACATGACATCACAGCGAGGCATAGTTCAGATGAGAGGGGTTGTTCATTGATACAAAGGTAGACTAAGCCATCGATTTATTCGTATCGTCCCAGCACGGGCTAATCAGCGTACAGATCATCGTTACTCGCGTCCGCGACATCGTTCGCTTGTCCTTCAGCCGGCCCCTCTCCAAAATCATACATGTTCTCATCAGGATCGAAGAATTCGTCGTCGTCATCGTCATCGTCCTCGTCTGCGTCATGGTTGTTTGCGTTGGCGAGCGGTGAAGGTTGGCGCACGGGACCCGGGAATGCTGCACCCCTCTTCTGAGCGATGATGCTGAGTTTCGCTTGTCGAGGAGACTTGGGACGGGCTGGTGCTGGTTTCTTGACGGCATTCAGTGATGAGGGACAGCTGAAGTCAAACGCACCGGGCTGCGAAGAGTTGGTAGGTGTGTCCTTCGCGCCGGTGAAGATAATTGGTGGGCCAGGCGTGCTTTCAGCAGCTTGCGTCGCGGCAGTCGACTCGTTGGGTGTGGTCTCAGCCACTTGCTGCTCGGCGTTCGATTCGTCGGGTGAGTCGTCTTCCGCAGGCCTTGCGGCGGCGCGCGTGCGGCTTCTCAGTACACGTAGTCGTTGAGGAGCAGGCCCTGGATCGGAACCGGTCGCTGTCCGTTCGGCTGTATAAGTGTCGTCGTCCATATCGTCACCAGATACTTCCGCTGGTTGTCGCCGTGTTGAGGTTTGCGGTGGGCGTGTGCGTTTCACTGCCTTCTGCTTCGCTGCCGAAGGCTTCTTCGCTGAGCCTTTGGCAGTCGGGGGCTCGTTTGGCGGTTGTGTAGCAGGAACTTCGATTCTCCATGCCAGTGGCTCGGACTCGGAGTCAGGTGGATCGAGTGTTACACGAATGGTCGAAGGCCCAGAGCCTGAGACTGCGTCTGCGGATATGTCTACCGCTTGCTCCGCATCAATGTCAATAGGGGAGGTTTGGGACGACCCGGGTCCCCGTGACGACTCTGCACCAGCATCTGACCGTGATGATGCGCCCGCGTTGAGGAATGCGCGTTTGGTGGATGGCGGGAACTTCTGAGCGGCAATGTCCCTTGCAATGGCTGCGTTACTACCATCGCCTTGGCCCGAAAGCTTCGTAGAAGTTGGGCGGCTGTCTTCCACTTTCTTCGCAGTGAGGTCGTCGATCGGCGGTAGTTGGGGATTCTCCGGTAGGTCAAGAGACTTTGCCCAATATGGGAGATTGTTCTCGATTTTCTCACATGCTTTGCGGTACTCAACGACATCCGGATCCGGGCATGTGGTCGACTCTGTTGTATGCATCCTGGGAGACGGTTGTCCGCTTCGTTTACAGTTGAGACAGTCCTGCTCAAGCTGATTCGTTCCCACCTTGCATCTGTCCCGATGTCGCTTGCCGCAATATAGGCAGGGGAATATCTCCTCGCCATGAGTACCGCCATGAGGACGTTCGGGACACTTTTTGCTCTTGTGGAAGTGGTCAGGTCGACCACACCGTCTGCAGAAGAGAGGGATGCATTTCTTTTCGATAGGCCTAAGGGTATCAGTCTAGGTGGGGAGATGTCGATAGAGTTTCACTGACCTGGCTTTGGCAAGAGTCCCCCCAAAGAAGAAAGCGTAACGGCACGCTTTGTCGGCCTCTGCTACCGAATCGAACCCAAACATAAGCTTGTTAGCCTTGTATTCAGCTTCAGCAATCTTGAGCTGGCTTTGGTGCCTCCACTCAGGCACCTGAGCCTCGATCCACGACGAATTCACATTGTTCAGCTTCAGATCGTGGATAACCTGCACCCAGAAACGCTCATTTCGTTGTGCACCGGGAGCTTCAAGCTCGAGGATCCTTGGAATATGAACAGCATGATGTGGCTCGGCCAGCTTCGCACGCGCCGCTTCGGAGTCGATGAAAAGCTCGAGTTCCCCCCAAAAGTCGTCTTCGGCTCTGTCCTTAGGTTCATGCAGTTTATAACCACGGATACGATTGTACGGAGAGCCGGCTGTACGAAACTTCCTGAGGAAATTTGTCGTCCCGAGCTCTGTGAGATAGTTCCACTCGCTCTCGAGGTAGATTGCGTACTTGAAGCTTGGCGGAACGGTCTTCTTTGGAGGCTGTCGTAGTAGATGTTTGGATGGAGCCGCAGGTGCTTTCGACGCAGATGATTTCGACGCTTGATGCATTGTTGTGACACGGAGGTTCATCCCGTCAACAACTTTCTGGAGAGGTTTTGTCTTGCTATCAACAACATTCTCTATGATAGGTCCGAAAGACTGCAGAAGCACATCTGTGACCTCAGCCTTCATGGTAGCGAACTCATCCTTGAGCATCTGTCTGATCGTGGACACCAACTCATCTTTCTCCGATGGCGGAGGCGCGTCGTCGTGCTGAAAAGGGAAGTCGAAGGACAGAGAGTCAGCGTCCATCTGGCTCAAACCTGAAGCCTCAAATGGTTGTGTTGTGCCTTTGCCGGGTGACTGTCTTGAGGAATGACTGTAAAGATGATGCTTTTGAGATGATGTAGCTTAAAGGCAGGGCATGTATGCTGATGGTGTGGTGATACTTTCTCGACGCCTAATGTGTGAAAAGACAACCTAGGAGAAGGTTGAATGATGTCACGCGTGATTGGTCGGTCTAGGGCATTCACTCGAAGCCACCCCCGAGAGTGGGGATGGGCTACCGCCTTTGCCGTTGCATGAAACGATTTTTTGAGATGAACACGTCTCTCAGGGTCTTGATTCATTGTAAGGGCGATACTACTCAACATTCATGCATGAAAACTTTGCCATTAAGGCATCGCCGCCCTTCAACATGACCACAATGGCATATGCTTCGATGGGAAGCGCGAGAGCCCAAGCAGCGGAGTCGACTGAATGCATGTGTTATTGCGCCGACTTTTTTTCCGTCACAATGCGCGGTTGGCGTTTGATCGCAGTCACTCCGACTCCATCTCCGTCGCCGTTGCGCCGCCGAACGAGGATTCTGTCGACGGGTATGTTGACGTCTGATCCATATCTCCACAGGAAACGGTACAACGGCTCATCATAATCAGTCCGTGGACCAATCGAAAACAGTATACCAAGTGCTAAGGTCGCGAAATCTGGGTACCTGCATAAGCTGGATGGCGGGGCGCTTGCTCTAGAGCAGCGCAAGCGCACGGGAAGGACACTTATGTGATTGACCGGACAAAACCGGCATCTAAACACGGACATCTTAGTCGCTCTTTACTCACAAAACTGGAGAATCGGCAACTGTCAAGTCACTCTTGCCGAGCGTGTCGGGTGCAACTTGTTACTGTCTGATGGAAGCAATTCGATTGAAATCCCTTGCTCACACATAGGCGTCACCTGCATCTTCGAACGGCTTCCCAAGCGCAGTCGCGCAGACCATGCGAATTCGGAAACCTTGTCAGAACAAAGAATAATACGGTGAACACTGCTACAGCTTGTTGAGCTTGTGAAGACATTACCTAAGTACGACGTGCCTTGATATACAGTCATAAGCTTTGGCCACCGGCCGTGTGCACGCAGGCGACGCTGCCAATCTTTTCTCGCCAGGGAAGAAACATTGCCAGCCGACATTGACACCTTCCCAGACCAGGGCAGGCTATCTGTTATGGATCCGGGGCATGAGTAAGGATCGCAGCTCTGATTTGCTGGGTAATGACCCGAGGTGTATCGCGGACATCCACGCGAGAGTGTCGCACATCCTTTGCCGCCGTTCAGAATGCACCTGGTGTCAGAACACCGTTGACGGACACGTGTGCGGGGTGAAATCTAGCCCTCGGTGTCAATTCTGGTGTGGCACACTCAGGCCGTATCCAGCCCGGCACCTGATCTGTTCATCGACGTGTGCGACACTGAGACCGTCTCCACGAGCTCGCGGAGCAGCGTGTGATGGATAGGCCGTAGTCCTTCCCTATCAAGATACTCCTCTCATTCGCACGCATGCTTGAGCATGGCCGCTGCGAAGAAGAAGAAGAGGAAGGAGGATCTCAAGGCAAGGCGGGTTAGTGCACCTCTCCCCACGACGGAAGATATGCATGCTGACTTACGGTTACAGAAGGAGAGGCGAAAGCTGGTGAAAGTAGGACAGACCAATTGACCTTCCTTCCTGCTCTGACACTTAATAGATCACATGGCCACAGGAACCTCGTGAAAAGCCAAAGCTTCCTACCATTGTCGAGCTCGAGCGTGACAGCAAACTGGGGATCAGCGGATTCGAAGATGACCGGTGTCTCGTATGGACAGTCAACGGGAAGAAGTCGCCCAAACGCATGAACTCATTGGAGACGTGCGTAGCGTCACAACGAAGACCTCCCGATATTATCGCAATCCAAGATCCTCCGCCCAAGTTCGCTTTCAAGAGCTTTGGCTCATATGGACACTGGTATCGCGCAGCCGATGTGGGAGATGAGCGGCAAGAGCTCACTCGAGACGATGACCCGAGCACGTATCCCTATCGTATTCCCCATGACCGCAACGAGCGTCCGAAGAAAGCCGTCAAAGATCTGTGTAAGGTTGCTTTCCTTGTACACAACTCTTTGAAAGGCTGTCGCATCACCGAAGCGAAAGGCAAGAACCGTGGCCTTCATGCTACCCTGCACGTTACCCTTCGAAGCGGACATACGATCGCGTTTCACAACGTCTACAACCATTACAACAGCATCGATGTGGCTGAGCTCGGGAAATCCATGATGAGTACGGACAAGGCCCACGTCATGGTGGGAGACCTCAATCTCCACCACCCAGATTGGGCTGGTGACGAATTGGAGTGGCACAAGGTCGAGAAGCAGGCTAAGCTTCTCGTTGAGCGCTTCCAGGATGCCAGCATGGAGTGTCTCAACGACGGTGGGATCACCTACTCAAGGTCTGCTGACGTTGACCGATACGCGAGTGTTCTCGATCTTGTGTATGTCAAGGACGTACTCAAGGATCAAGCCGTATACAAGATCCTCGAGAACATCCCTGGATATCTATCGGACCATCGTATCTCTTCGGTTTCCATCGACGTCAACATGGAGCGCAGGACCGGCATTCGATACCACTGGGATGCGACACCGAAAGACGAATTCGAAGAACGCGTTACCGAGCTGCTCCAAGATATCGAAATTGCTGGACTGGACGACGCAGATGCGGTGAACAGTGCTCTGAAGACCATCATCACCCAGGTTCTGGAGCCGGCTATCAAGGAGCTCGTCCCGGTAACCCAGCTTTATCAACCAGAGCCTAAGTATCGCCCCAAAGTTAGCCCAGATGCTACTAAGCGGACTACCGATTGGCGCGAGTCCATGGAGAAGAAGGCTGCTGGTCCTCGTGGTATCTTCAACTTCGCAAAACAAGTGCACAACTGGAGCGTTCCAAGACGTTTGGCGTATACACCAGACTTCAAGGTTGGGACGGAGACATTCCATCACAATCACGAAAAAGCGGACAAGTACGTGGAGTGCACCTGGCCAAGCAGTCGATTGAAAGGGCCTCCCCTGAAACCGACGTTCGAGCAAGATAGTGATCGACCGGAGTTCGTACGTATCCGATGCATTCCACAATCATCGACATCAAATCATCGACTAACACTTGCATAGGCATCGCCACCGCCCAAGCCGCATTTCCCTTTGCCTTTTCTTGACCCGAATAGGAAGACGAAAGATCCTCCTGAAGATTCCGTCACGTTGGAAGAAGTCGAGAAAGCACTGGCGGAGGTCCCAATCCGCAAGGCTCGGGGAGTCGACGGCCTCGCATACGAAGCACTGAAGATGTGCCGCAAACCCCTGGCGCCGTTTCTCCAATACATCTTCAATGCCTGCTTTAGACTACGCATCCACCCCGACCACTTCAAAGATTCTATCACGATCCTCATCAAGAAACCAGGCAAAGCGGCTGATGAACCAAACTCCTATCGTCCAATCGCATTGCTCAATACGTTGGGCAAGATCTTCGAGCGATTCATCGCTGACCGATTGAAAGAGCTTGTCATCAAGCACGACCTGCTTCCCTTTGCCCAGTTCGGTGCACCAGGAAGAAGTACGACTGGAGCTCTCGAGTGCCTCAACAACACCGTCTACCGGGGCTGGTCGCTGAAGAGGCGGGTTAGTCTTCTTGGTCTAGACATCTCCGGGGCATACGATCACATCGATCGTACCCAACTTCTGGAGAGGTTAATCGCGATGGGCATTCCTGATTGGATCGTTCAGATCGTGTGGTCGTTCTTGTCGGATCGTCGCACCTTCGTTCACATGCCCGGCTATGACGGTGGAGAGTACTGGATCGATGTCGGCATTCCCCAGGGCAGCCCACTTTCGCCTCTCCTGTTCCTCTTCTACGCGGCTCCACTATTGACAGACTTCTTTGCTGGTTACTCTAAGAAGGCGGTCACACTTCTCTCTTATGTGGATGATACATACATCGTGGTCTCGAGCAAGACGGTTCACGATAACTGTATTGTCATGGCAGACATTCACCAGAAGATGGCGGACTGGGCTAAGCAGAGCAACCTCCATTTTGCTCCAGCGAAATACCACGTCATGCACTTCGTGAAACCTGGAACATCTGGTTCTACCGAGCTACCGCCCATTCCCGAGTTCGCCGACTTGCCACCAAAACTCAAGGCCAAGATACTTTGCGAGACACTCGTTATCCTTGGGGTAACATACGACTGCAAGATGAGTTGGATCCCGCACATTCGAGAGGTTAGTAGATATTGTTCCTTTACCGTACGTACTCTCGCTAATCTCTTATAGGTACAGCGAAAGGTTCGCGTGGATCTTGCCAACTTCGACCGTTTCGTTGCCGGTACCTGGGGCGCCAATTACATCCAACGCCGCGATCTTTACAAGGGAAAGCTTCTAGCCAAGATTGGCTACGCCGCTGCCGCCTGGTTTCTTCATGACCCGACCAAGACCGAGTTAGAAGGTGGTATACGATGGGGCTTGACCAAGGTCGCGACACATATGCTGGAGCAGCTGCAGCGCGAGATTCTCAAATCTCTCACACGGGCACGGGCGTTCACGCCCAGCATTGCAATGGAGAACGAGTTCCACGTTCTACCGATCCTGCTGAAGCTGCATCAGCTTGCAATGAACCACCGATGTCGCCAATACGGCTCCGCAGACTACAAGCTGTTGGATGAGGCTTTGGAGATCAAAGATCCTTACAGGGGCTGCACCCAAGACCGCAAGGAAATGGCAATGCATCCCTACGCGCATCTTCGCGCACTCGCTGGCCTCCACGTGCGGACGATACGTGAAGAGGAGCAACACAGCCTGTCGGAACCGGCCTTTGCGGAATCATGGGCCGACCCCAAGAAGCGTGGAGAGTGGATCAAGAAGTTCAACTTCCGTGTGGTCTTCCACCATGCGAACATCGCCTACAAGCTGTACCTGAACTTACGGATGTTGAGCAGACAGCCTATGCATCCAACCCACAAGGCTGATTTCGGCGACCACATTCTTCAATACTACGTCGGATTGAAACCTGCGCAGACTACCATGGGGATTGGACTGCGAACTGGGAACCTTCCGTTGAAGTCGAACTGGCAGTGGTGTCAGATGAACGGCATCACTGACAACCGCTGCCCGCTGTGTGAGAAGGCGGTCCACACTGCCGAGCATCTCTTGTGTCATTGCACCGCACTGGAGACCGAACGAGGTTTTCTGAGATCGGCTGTCGGCCGGCTTGATTGGCACAGCCTGGTGACGAAGGATCTTGAGATCACCACGGCGTGGGCGATTGCCTTCTTCGGCATTGACCAGTTCAAGTGGTGCTTGGACGACAAGGACTTCCAATTCCCTCGAGGGCGCCGCGTCCACATTAGCTTCCGCAATTGAGATCATGCGGCCGATATATTCGTAGCACAAGTAGTTTACGCAACCAACTCGTTCTTTTCCCAACATACTCGCAATGTAGTTAGTTACGCAACATAGCCAATCCATCCTTTCACCCGCTAGGGTCACCGTGCCCGTTTCGGAGTTACTAATTTCAGTGTCATACATTTCGCTCTCGTTACTAACAACAGCTACTAATGGTGAGTCACTCTGGTGGAGCTCTCACTGCAAAGTGCGCAGTGGCTGACCAGCTACCCAGACAACAGTGACGCGATCCGATCCCGACAAGGTGCGTTCTGCTCACAAGCTCGACACCACTTCCATTCTCCCCTATAAGCGTTACTCGCTTGAGCACATCCATTGGCGCTCGCATCAGCTCTATTCCTCCGCTCCCTGCTTCCTTCGTACCGTCATATGGTTCTTGAACGACCATCATGCATCCAGCACACTGACTGTGCCAGACGCCCATACACACAACCAACGAAACCCATATCCGTAAGCGAGCACAGCAGATCTTGCGCAAGGCCGAATCTCTGACACTTTTGCAGCCCGACCGTCTACTTCGCGCCGCCATGATAATACGACAATATCCCCGCCATCCACGCCGCGCTTTCGTGAGTGGCTCTCCGCCCGACCGCTCGCATCCAGACGTGCTGACAGTATCAGCGCTTCCCACAAGCTTGCCACGAAGCCCGCATCAATCGCCCCTTGCGCCATCGCTCTTATCTGCCGGACTTGTTCTTCAATATGTGCAATATCGGACCGAATGCAAGAGCCGGAGTCGAGGTATAGGTCGAGGATTTTGGCATGGTGGAGTAAGCAGAGACCTGCTCGTTGCTTGTGGCGGTGATAATGACATGACGGCAGGGAGCGTCTTTTGGGGCGTAAAGAAGACAACAGGCGACGCATCGTGTAAGTCACGTCGTGCGCTAGCTTGGAGGGTTGAGTGCTGACAGGATGTGCAGCGCGATCGTGAAGGACGACGTTGCCGACAACATGAAGGTCGAATCGGGGAGCCCAATAACCTTCAGCAGCCCAGTTGGAGAATGTGGACGATGGGCTATTGATGCTAACCATCCATGCCGACGTATGTGACTGCAGCCGACGTTGTGAATGGTACTGACACGCCAGTAGGCGCGGTCAGTAAGACCGGCGAGCGTCGTGGGAGGAAGGCCTGTCTCGCGTAGGACAGGTCTCGGAGTCGCAGGTGTGTATCGCGGTTGACACTCTTCATGTCTATGACTGCTAACGCGACGGGATTAGCGCGCGACGCGCTGAGACTCAGGCAGGTTCCTGAGAGCACGCTCATGTAAGAGACTCACTCTTTCCATTTCCGTTTCCGGCAGCGGACTAATGCGTGGCAGGGCTTTTGAAGAAGTGGTTTTGATGATGAAGAGGTTTTTGAGCTTGATGGAGGAGCTTCAGATGAGGAAGAGGAGGATGGATGAAGGAGCAAGCGTGGGTCGACCTTTGCGCGATCGCTAGGCGCCATGCTGACGAGTGACTCAGAAGAGCTGTGCGAGAAAGATATTCAACGCTGCCTGGCGAGGATTCGGTACGTGACGCGTCTGTCGCAACCGCGTGAGATGCAGTCGCTAACTGCCGGCAGTGTCATCAGGGTCTTGAAGACACCTGGTTGCTTCGCGTACCATGGTGAGTTCCAAAATTCGAGTATGGTTGCGTGTGCTGACTAGGCTGTGGGTTGTTGATGAAAACCCGAACAAAATATGTGTAAGTTCCGATCGCTCAACTTCGCGTCGATGACGCGCTAACGCGTGACGCGTCGCAGGGCTTTACCATTCTTCGAGAGCTTCGACCCCGCTCACACCCAGTAAGTCTTCCCCTCACCGTCACGACACCGTCGTTCATTGCTGACAACGCGTGCAGGCGGGCTCAATCAGAGTCTATACATTTCATATTACGCTTTCGGTGGACACTGGTAGAGGGGAATTACTAGATTTCGGCTGCTTTATATACCCAATTCTTCTTCTCGGATCTATAATCTTCTTAATGTATAATGCGGTCCCCTTCCGCGCCAAAAAACGAAAAGGCCACCGTTGCATGCTATCGTGATCCGTGGTTGACCAGCCTGGCGCAACCAAAGTAGCTTTTAGGCAGCGTTACGTGGCCTCAATCACGGCTACAAGAACACCACTCCGTCGCTCACTCACCATCGCGCCCACACCATCGCGCCCACACCATCGCACCCACACCATCGCACTCACACCATCGCACCCACACCATAACTCAACACTCATCACGAAGCCAGGCCAGACCATGAGAGTGTCTGCGCCAGCTGAGCTCTGCAGCTCCACTGCCGGATCCGTCGCTGGCAACGGAGTCACACTGCCCGCCTTCCTACGCCTTCCGCGCGAGCTAAGAGATTTCATCTACGAACAATACGTGCAAGTTGATGGTGGCTACATCCATAGCTTCGAAACAAACAAACTTGTACAAGCTGATGGTGGTCCTATTTCGCTTTCGCTCGCTCTCACATGTCGCCAGGTTGCGGGAGAGATGCAAGGGCTTGCCCTCCGACTAAACGCTATCACCTTCTCCACGCATTTCTCAGAGTCTACACGACAGCAAGCCGGTCTATTCAACGGAGCAATTGTTAATCTAGTATACCGCAAGAAGGCGCTGCTACGAAAACTCATACCTCGGCTTCTCTCTTACGATATGGTACAAAGGGCAACGGACGCATTCCCGCAATTCGCCCACATCTTTCACGGTTGGACTCCGCACCAGGATATTGCCGCGCTGTACAAGCAGGACTTCGATTGCGGAGAAGCTCCATCAACATGGGACGATTTCATCGGCTTTGTGTTCAATTTACTGTCGAAGCACTCCACATTTCACGATGAAGCCGAATTGACGCCTGGACACTGGATCTCGGATATTCCCTGCAACATCCCAGTTCTGGGCGAGACCTCTCCAGAACCTTGGCTCATACCAAACCCCTCCGAACTTGACCGCCTCGCCAAGATCCTGGACGTCGAACCCAGAGCACCGGCGTATTTTGCTCGATTGAGATATCGCTACTCGGCGGCGTCTGTAGCCCTAAAATTTCTACATGGGCTTCCGTCTTCGTGCCGCAAAGAAGTGCGGAACGTGATACTTCACGAAGACTGCGAATCAGGCTCGAATGCGGCGTCCCACGGAAGAGGATTCATTCCTCTATGTCAAACTAATCGCCTTCTCCGCGTTCAGCGTATCGTAAACGTATGGAGCAGCGTGTTCCGAGTACGGCCTGAACTACGCGTCGACTACATCATGCGCAGTGCGTCTGCCGAGAACAGTGATATTGTGAAAGACGATCGCCTGTTCTCATCGACGATCACCAAAGCAGTGGGGGCATGGATCGCCGAAGCTCAGGCATTGTTGTCACTCGGCATGCCCCAGGAATCATTCAGCATGCTGCTTGACGGCAATCCTACACCCGAACACACCTCTACCGTTTTCCAGATTATACAGCGGGACGTTGCCTGGCAATCAGCTCTTGACGCTGCGTATGACCGAGGACATTTACCAACCCCCACTTGGTATGAGCGGCGATGTCGCGCTGGATACAACTACGAGGGACTTCCAGCTGCGATGCGCAACATGTCAATCGCCGGTGCAGGTGGGCCCATCAGCTGCAATTTTGATGTTGGCGAACCGGACGACGTGGAAACTCTTCTCACGCTGCATCAAGGTTGGACGCCCAAGCAATGGGCAGATCATTGGGGTATGCATCAGCCGCAAAGCTTCCAGACTGAGCATCCGCTGCCTCCGTGGCATGAACTCAAATGGCTGCGTGTAACGATGTAGACGTTGCTATCTACATAGAAACACCGTCATAGATAAAGCTAGATGAACAGGGTCGCGAATGAATATGGCGGCAGTATGTAGAATCTGCTCCTGATAACCCAATTCAAACAACGTCCATTGTGTACATCTTTTGCATGCTTCCCTACCCAGGTGCGCTGTTGACGCTATGTCGGCAGCAGAATCCAATTGGGTGCTGGCTTGGTCTATACCTGATTCGGCAAGCTCCACACACGCGGACGAAACCGCCGCGCCGCCGCACTCTCGACGCGTCCACGCGAACACGCCCAGTCCAGTCCCTCCACAAGCGACTCACGTCCTACCTCGAGATGCCAAATTTGACGACATGAAGAGATATTTCGCCAGTCCTTGAATTACTGTTGCGTGGCAGAGCTCAACCGCCATTATTCAGCCTCCTCGGAAACGGAGCCGCCTCCTCGCAATAGCCCCACCACCTTACTCCTACAGGCACAATGAGAATCATCCCATGATTCAGAGATGATAGGGGCTCGAAGCCGAATTCCACCGACGGCTATGAGTAAGGACTTTATGCTATCGCGGTTTCACGGACTCATGAGGAGTAACGCGCCGTGGTGCCTTCACCTTCCGATACTGCACCTTCTCGGCCCGGAAGATCGGCTACCGAGATGAACGCAGAAGCTGCGCTCTCTGACGAGGTACTGGAACTACCAGAACCGCCAGACCGTCCTGGGCTGCTCAAGATCAGTACCGATGGAAGCGCTATCAGCCCCACAAAGCACACTCCGGCAGCCGGCTACGGCGTGTTCTTTGGTCCAGGCGATCCAAGGTGAGTGATTATAACATCCCCAGGCTCAACACACTTCATCGACGGCTATAGCTGTACCCGTGAAGTCACTGCGGGAGGCCATGTCGGAAGCCTACACTTCGAAGCTGACAAGACCCTTCGCAGGAACGAGGGCGGTCCCGTTGGCCCCGGCAAACAAACGAATCAACGCGCCGAATTAAAGGCTGTGCTCATCGCACTTCAGAAAGCCTCCAACAAAGTCGACGTGCTTGTTCGTACCGATTCCCAATACGCTGCCCAAGCCGTCACAGAATGGTACTACGATTGGCGGATACAGAACTGGAAGAAGCCAGAGGGCAAGCATCGTCAGAATGAGCACCTCATCGAACAGATCGTGACGCTCATGAAGAGGAGGGCTAGATTGATGGTGACTACAGAGTTCACCTGGGTCAAGGGGCACAGCGGTGACCCAGGCAACGAGGCGGCTGATGCCTTGGCCTCGGCAGGATCGAGGTGAGTGCAACTCCTGTTCCGATGTCGCTTGCTATAGATCCTGACATACATGAAGGACCGCCCATTTTCAGTTATACGGACGCTGGCCACACGACGATGTACCACCTGCGAAGTTCCGACCTGGTGCTCCGGACTTTGTCAAAGGATTTGAAATAGTGAAGAGGCCGGACGGTACCGGAGAGGAACGTGTGCCGTTGAGCGCAGCGGACCTGGAGGTACAACGTTCTGTCATGACATATGGAATGGGACAGAAGAAGCGCGCCAAGATCATGCAGAACAAGAACAAGAACGCTGTTAATAAGGTGGTCAAACGTACCAAGCAATAGACTTCTGTGCTGTTATCGACACCATAAAGATAGCGCCCAGTTACCTCTGGCATGCTACGTAACTTCGAGAAGTCGTCATCAGTGAGAAATCTCGTGTCGCTATCTACGCCTTTCTTTGGAGCGGACGCATATGTACTGTGATGCATATATTATTCAACATGCTCGAAACCCCTCCGATGCGAGATCTTGTGGCACTCTGAACGCTGTGAATCGTAATACGGTCTGCTCAGAGGCCGATCTAGCGCAGCTGTACGAGCCGCCAACGAGCATCTTGATACCTGGTTGCGATGTCAACCCGCGTAAGTGCCCAATGTTTGCTGTGGGCTTTGGCTTGGTTCACCGGTCACCGATCACCGACGCACAATCATCTCATTGAAGCAGGTACCCATCATATCCATTCGGCGCAGTAGATCGCGCGGCCACTCAATGCGCATCGCGACCCCTACCATGTAATGAAGTCGCCACGACCTGCTGTGTATCCATTCTGCAGCTGTTCTGGCCCATCTGTTTTCATTCTTATATACAAGAGACCAACGTTCCTGATGGTAAGACTATGATTTGGCTCAGCCAACGACGGAAAACTCCTGGAGCGAATTCGAAGTCTCGTTATTTGTGTCGTAAGGGACGTTCCACCAGGCACATGGCGGCGAGCATTCGCAGTTCGGTGGGCTGTTACGCGAATTAGCTCACGAACGACGAAGTACACGAGGGGATACTTACAGTTCCCAAGCAGCGGTAGACAGCACTTCTTCGCGGGCACGTGTCATATCGTGCACCTCTCCGCTAAGCTTGGGCTCCCAGTATTCCCGCGTCGAGTTCTTGACGTGCCCGGAAAGCGTTACTTTCTCAACAGAGCGTAGACGAGAGTACGCCAGTGTGAGGAATATACGAAGCCATTCTTTCTGACACGAGACCTCTGTCTCTGCTTCAGGACGAATGTTATGCCATGGGTCGTAAGCATAGCCACGGAAGCCCTCGACGCTGACTATGTTTGGATGCAAGACTTGGAACTGTAACTCCAAGTGCTTCAGCGTTGGCACAGCAGTGAGCGTCTCTAATCGGACGTGCGGTAAGATCTGGTTCCGCGCAAAGCCAACACCGTGCGCGCTCTCGTAGCCGATGAACCGGAAGTATTCTTCGTTAGTAAAGCTCAGCTTTACGTGGCTCAAACATCCCGGATATTGTGTAGGGGACGTCAGATTCAGGCGGGCGCGGCGTAGGCGAAGAGGATGAACTTGGAAGAATTTCAGCACATGGGCCAGGACAAACCTTCGGTTGAAGCGCTTGACGGTTGGAGAGCTCCAGATTAACTCTTCGAACTGCTGACGCACATCTTTACCGGCGTGCATTAATCCCATAGTCGAGAACCAATCGACATTACCCGGCCCAATGTTCGCATGTGAGTCCTCTGGTACGATGTTCAATCCAATTCCCCATAGTTTGGGGGCTTCGATCACGGGAGCGCGTGGCACCTCAAAACCGATGGGGTGGATTCCGCCGAGACAATGACCATGGCTGCTTTCGCCTTCCAAACTCAGCTCATAGTCGGAATGAGGCGCACCCTTTAGTCCTTCAAGAGAGCAACACCGGCAGGTGAGATGAGGCCATATCTGCGGCCCGACTAGGAGGCGAAAGATGTTGTCTCTTATCTCACGAGGCAGCTCCATCAATGGGAAAGTTTTGCCCGACAACTTCCACATTTTTTCCAATTCCCATAGCCAGATCCCATACCCGCCTTGAGGCTGGCGAACGTCATTGAAATTGCATTCTACCGCGGTGTCAGCGATACAATTCGTCAGCTCCATCGCATGGCGATCAGGGCAACCTACGAAACGCTATCATTCTCCACCAATCGCGAACCGAGCACCACTGCGTTGCACGTTCTTGAGCTATTTCTAGCTCTAACCGGTCATCGATCGGACCGGATCGAACCGTTACGATGCACGATCCAACCTTCGGGAAATGCAAACGGTAGTCGTTGAAACGGCAATCTTCGTAGTACCGACCAACGCCACTTATACGTACCTGATGGGTGGGAAGAGTGAGGTTTGCGATGTTTTGGCCATAACACAGTCCAGGTTGTAGGCTTCCGTCAAGACGAATAGCCTCGCACTGCAGCGGGGATATCTTAAAGCCATCGGACGCAGCAGCGAGGTATGGGCTCCGTCTTCGTTCCTCTTCGATGATTTCAAGGAAGCGGTTGTATAACGGATCCTGTGAGTCTTAGCATCCAATCTCCGCGATTCAAATCCATGGCGGAAACACCAACCCATCGCCAACCTTCTCTTAATTCCGGCTGGGGAATGCCTTCAAATCGGAAATCAAAAGAGGAGTTACCCCACGGCGGTGGCGGGTGCTGACCAGACATGATCTATAGGTCTGAGGTTGCAGAGGGATGATGGCTGGCGATGCATTCCGGGCGTTTCAATCGTAGCACGACCCAGCCTGTGATGTAATCGCTATCATGACTTTCGCTCACAAGATTCACGGCTTGCGCAAACTTGGCTGGGCATGGGACTTCGATTCTAATTATCTGATTCGCAATTTCCAGACACTTCACAGTTGCACGCATCCGTCTCAATGATGGCCCGTGGCTGACAAAGTCTGTGTCGAGGTACATAAGTGAGGAGGTTGCCAGACCTCGGTACTCTCGATTGGGTTTAGTCATGCACGGGTCACGAGCGAATCGCTTGCCCAGGCACACCACCGTCCTCACAATCGAACTCGTAGGAAACATCCCCCCAATCCCCATTCCTATCCTTCCACCACGCACACGGCGTCTTGCACTCGCAAATCGGTGGCCTAAACAATTCTGTCAGCCAAACAACGGAGATAGTTTCGTCGTCCATCTCATCTTCGTCGCGGTATGGTGATGCAAGCTCCTTGTAGACACTTGGAGGGATCGCATCCGGAGGGCATTTAGAGTTTTCGTCGCACATGATTTTGGCACGATAGGGCGAGAGTGAGCGGAGTAGACGATAAAGGTGAGCAGGCTGGGCCGATGGTCGTTGCGAGGTATGTATGAATGGGATTAGCATGAGTCCGAAAAGTTTGTGAAGGGCGCATTACGAATGCGCACGTGGAATTGGGAGCGTACTATGGATCAATAATGACAACGATTGGCAAGTCACCTTCAACGTCCCACATCGCAGTGTTGGAGACAAGTAGGTTTCAGAACTTCTTGGTTTCTTTTGTGATCACACCAAGGCTGCTGAACAAAACGGCTAAGAGTTCGACGATTGAAGTACTAAATGGTCTCCATATCTGCAGGTGTACAGTTTATACTTTCAACAATGGTGTGTCTTCGGCAGAGTGCGCGGCGTTGGAGGTGGAGACAACGAAGGTGGACTTTATGATGGGATTCAGGCTAGGTCACCACAATAGCGCTGTGTGCGCTTGGACAAGCGTGGTTTTACCCCGCGCATTGGTAGCCCCGCATCTTGAGAGCTTGTGAGGCCATTTTGGCATGGAGTTCAAGACAATCACCCGTTCTACACCATTGTATATACCCGCATGAGGAAAATGACAAAACAACAATACTCAAAGATTCTTGAAGACATTGCCATTGGAGATAACACGAAATCTTGCCCGTGTCGTCGCATTTGTAGAGAAACAACTATCCATTCACATCAATTACATCAACCGCCCGCTAGATGCCTTGGTCGGCAATCAAGCTCCTGAACAATTTTTCATAGTCCTCATTTTCGTAGTCGTCGCTTTCCTCGTCGTCACTTTCATCATCTTCACTGTCCTCATCTTCGCACGAGAATTCTTGCATACCATCGTCTGATCGAATGTCCCACCATGCACATGGCGTGGAGCAACGACAGATCAGTGGACTGACAAAGGGTTAGTACATGAGCATGACTATATATCGAACGCTACTTACAACATATCGACATCGCGTCCGGCCAAGATTTTGGCAACTTTGGCTGTCATGTCACGTCTTTCTCTGGGTTCGTCTGTGCGCGTCTGGTCGCGCAGTAAAGGATCCCATCTCCTGTGGTTTGAGCTTTTGACGTGTCCAGAAATTGTGACTTCTCTGATGTCACGCAGGAACTCGTAGCCCAAAGTCATGATCATGTCGACGAACTTTTTCTGGCAACAAACGTCATACATTCTGTAATGATGAGGCCACGGGTTCCACGGGTTAAAATAGTCGGGTGTGAGAGAATCGCGTTGCGTTGTTAATACCTGGAATTGGAGGTTCAGATGCTCCAGGGTACGTATTTCGCTCAGCAACCTCAAACCGCCAGGTCTGGATCGCAAGTCGCACTTCGTCTTCGTGACCCCGTTGTCCTCGGCAGAGTAACCGACAAACGGGAGGTACTTTTTGTTTGGGAGACTCAGAAATACGCGTCTTAGTACGCAAGGGTCTCGAGGTTCGAATACGTGTCCTGGTAGTTCTTGCTGGGCGCAGTACTTCTGAAGATACCGTGCGACGGCCGTCAGATCGTTCAACCTGTTGAAGCATTTTATAGATTTGCTCCATAATATATCCGCAACTTCTCCACGCACTAAACGACTGACGCAGAGTAAGCTCATTGCCGAAGTTTGCTGTGTTTGAGTAGGACCCAGGCCGATATACTTGCTGAGTGGCGAGCCTTCATAGGACGTTTGGAAACGGGTTCCTTGGCGGTACATGAAAGGGATGGGATAGACGCCGGTTGATATCCCGTTATACCAACCATCTGCGCTAAACTCATCGAGAGCATCAGCGTAGTTGTAGTCGTCGTAACCAGCGGCACTGAGCTGATCGAGAGCAGCATCATAGATGGAATCGTAATACATCTCGGCGGAGGCAATAAGGTGGTTGTACTCTCCATCGAGAGTCAATTTGTTGTGGTATGCGTAACAACGGGCGTCGTCTTGAATGTAAGGACCAGTGTACTCGTAGGAGTCGTCGTCGTCGGAGTCGGAGTCGGAGTCGTCGTCGATGTCCGCAAAAATTATCCGCCCGTGTTTCCGGGACGGGAGATGTGGCCAGATCTGCTTCCCAACTACAAACTCGAAAATCATGTATCGTAGGTCTACAGGGAGCTCCAATAATCGGAAAGGAATGCCAGCACTGTTGTGATACTCTTCCAGAATAGTTTGTCGGACCTCGTGTTCGCCATACATCTTCTTCAGCCATCCACCAACGGGTTGCCAGCAGCAGTCGTCTCTCGAGAAGTCTCGCCGGTAAGGGGGATGATCGTGTTCCTCCCAGTCATTTAGCTCGAGTTCCGATAAGTTCTGAAGAGGCCCACGCCGAACAACAAAGATATGTCTTTTCCTACAGGCTGGTAGATGCAATCTGTAGCGGAATCTGTTGGAGACTTCATCGCAATGGATGTCGTTGTGTGGAATGAGGAGATAGTCAACGAAGTTCGCAGCGAGAGTCGGGCTACGCCTGCATTCCTCCTCGATAATGGAACGTAAGCGAATGAGCAATGGATGCTGCTAATGTAAGCAAGAGTACAAGATCATATCACTTCATACATGCCAGTAGCATCGCGGGCCCATAAAGTGCTTTGATGACCTCATCTTGATGTAGGCGAAACTCAAGTAGGAGTTCGAACAGATCATCGTCTTCGACCCAGTCATCATCTCGCGAAGCTGATCCCAGCCCTTCGACAAGACTACGCAGTGCATAGTCGGAAGGAAGACGAGCGCTGAGCTCCTCGGTTTCTGAATCTTGGTAGGTAGGAGACATGCTGCTGTAAGCGTGAAGTAGGCGGGCGGAAATGTCAGCAGAGAACCAGGTGGCCTTGGAACGATGCGTAATGAAGGCCGGAACACTTTCGACAGATATGCCCAGCAGATTTGGAGAAGAACGCCCCTGTTGCCGGAAAAAGATGCGCGGAAGCCTCGCTCTGCTCCGTGCTCAACTCACGATGGCCCGGCTCTTGGGCTTTCAAAAGACGCAAACACCTCATATTCCTTTTTGAAGCGTTCTGTTGGCATCAGGGAATGTTTAAAATTCTCCGGATGAGCTCAGAATCTACTTCATGGGGTGCTCACGCGATCATGTGTCTCACGCGATCATGTTTCGTCGTGTTGGACATCATAGCACATGCGGCGATGCGTCCGAGGGGCAGGTTGATGCGGCAACAATCCCAGAAGGGTTCAGCGTGTCGCCTCCCGCTCCGCGCCCGGGCTCATCTCGGCTTCACAGCAGCTCTCAGGTACGGTGACCCCACCCCGATGAAGAGAGTGCGCCTTGGACTCGAACTGCGGTCTGGTTCTAGGTCGGACTGATCATTGAGATGGTACTTTGATAAACTGTATGATTGCGATAGCTTTGATGTTGTTCGCGGGTGGTGCTGATCTCATCCCGACACCGCCTAGGCACGACCCATGCTGGTCA